AATTCACGTTTGGTGGCTTGAAGGTCCTTGAAAAAATAATTTAAAAAGCCGCGTTTGTTGGGTTTGAAGGTCCTTAAAAATATTTTAAGAAATCCATAATTTGCGGACTTTAAGGTCCTTGAAAAAATAATTTAAAAAGCCACGTTTCTTGGCTTTAAAGGTCCTTGAAAAAATATTTAAAAAAATACACGTTTGTTGGCTTTGAAGGTCCTTGAAAAAATATTTTAAAAAATCCACGTTTGCTGGCTTTGAAAGTCCTTGAAAAAATATTTTAAAAATCCACGTTAGATGGCTTTGAAGTTCCTTGAAAAATATTTTAAAAATCCACGTTGGATGGCTTTGAAGGTCCTTGAAAAAATATTTTAAAACGCGACTTTTGGTGGCTTTGAAGGTCTTTAAAAAATATTTCAACAATCCACTTTTGGTGGCTTTGAAGGTCCTTGAAAAAATATTTTAAAAATCCACGTTGGATGGCTTTGAAGATCTTTGAAAAAATATTTTAAAAATCCACGTTGGATGGTTTTGAAGGTCCTTAAAAAAATATTTTAAAAATCCACGTTGGGTGGCTTTGAAGGTCCTTGAAAAAATATTTTAAAAATCCACGTTTGGTAACTTTGAAGGTCCTTGAAAAATATTTTAAAAAATCCTCGTTTGATCGAATGGTCCTTGTAAAAATAGTTTTTAAGATTTCCCTCTGGCATTTTTTTCGTAAAAGTACATATTTGGTCCTAATGATCCTTTAAAAAAAATGCTTAAAAATCTACGTTTACAGGCGCTAGACCTACAATATGCTCCTTGACAATATGCATTTACAAGTCAACGTATCTTGAAAAAATTCTCTTCTCACGCCACGATAGCGGACTTTGAAGGTCCTTGAAAATTAATTTTAAAAGTCCGCCAATGAAGGCTTTGGGGGTCCTTAAATAATTATTTAAAAAAAATCCCATTTGTTCCTTGGAAAAATATTCTTAAAAATCCACGATTGGTACATACTAGCAAAATTCCCGATTACCTTTTGTCCTGTCCAAATTTTTCTCCTCGCTCCCATTAACATTTATTTCAAAATCTTTCAATTGCCCAAATAAATCTCTGTGTTCGTTTTCGCTCAAACTTGTCGAATAATATTCACATTCACAAAACAGAAATTAAAAAAAGAAGCCCAAATAATTTCCCCCCTTCAACAACCCCCAAACCAAACAATGAATTTTGAAAAGGATTTCGGGAAAAATCACATTCAACTGCCAGAAAAAAAAAAGAATGACAAGGAACTTACCAACAACAAACCACAAAAATATAACAGACATATTTCCAGGAATTCTTCTCAACTTATCTTTTGTTTGGACAATAAATGTGAAATTAAAAGAATTTCACTAATTAAATGGCATGGCAAAAAAAGGACAAACAAAGTGAATGCTACAACAACCAGCGAATTCAAATGGAAACCAAACAGAAAAATGTCTCAATTAAAACCACATCAAATGTTGGTGGTATCAAGAGGGAGAGGGGGGAAGAGTTGATTGTTGGATTGTTAATTCATGGCTACAAATTCAGCGAGACATTTAGTCGCTGAGGTCTTTGTACTCAGCCTAAAAGGATACACTTTTAGAGGCACATGGTCTACTGAAGTTATAATTGTTTATTTAAATTATTTAATATTTTCTTAATTGGGATTCATGAGTGAGTTTAACAAGGATTTCTCCAGGGATAACTAGAGCTTTCTAGAAGGATTTTTAAGAATATTTTTAAAGGACCACACCATATGGATCTAGTCCTTTTGAACACTGTATAGTGTTTTAAGAACTATAAAAAATTATTGTTTAAGAACATTTTATCAAGGACTAACAAATACCGAGTAGTAAATATATTTTTTCATGATCTGTCAACATTAGTCTCCTTAAGGACTATTAAAAGTGGACCATGAATCCAAATAGGATTTTGAATATTTTTTCAAGGACCACCAAATTCGATTTTTAAATAACGTACATTTTTATAAATATTTTTTTGAACACTTAAGGTGGGTATTTTTGGATATTTGCTCAAATGTCCAATTTGTAATCTTCGAAATAATTTTCAAGAATTAACCGGGTATTTGCCGAACAAACTTTTTTAAGGGCCAGCCATGGCTATCTAAGTAATATTTTATCAAGGAAAATTTTAAATGTTTCAAAATAGTTTAAAAGACTGAACGTGGATTCTTCAAAAATGCTTTTTCAAGGACCAAAGGCGTATTTTTAAGGTTATTCCTTCAAGGAACAACCTGACATTTTTGAGAATGATTTTTCAAGGAACACACGTGGGTTTTTCAATATAAATGTGAAAAATACAAAATATGAAAATATTTTTTCAAGAATTAGACCTGCATTTTAAGAGCATTTTTTAAGAATCAAATCTAGATTTTTTTTTTAAAGAATCTAAAGTGCATTTTTGAGAATTTATTTTTACCAAACCAAACCTGGAGATTTTAGAATATTTCTTCAGTTTTTTAGACACCAAACGTGTATATTTTTTTTTAAATAAGTTTTCAAGGACTCAACTTCAATTTATTTAAAATAATATTTTCTAAGACTTAATGTGGGTTATTAGAATTATTAGTTCAAGGATCAAACTTCGATTTTAAAGATATTTTTTTAAGGACCAAACCTAGAATTTTAGTTATATTTTTTTAAGGCCTAACGGCCCTTAAAAATATTTTTCAAGGATTTATAGTAGATTATTTAAATATATTTTCGGAGGGACCAAACCTAGATATTTAAGAATATTTTTTTAAAGACTAACGGTGGATTAATAAGATAACAGGGTGAGATAAAAAAACTGCAAAAAAGTCAAACATAATTGTATTGAATGAAAGCAAAAAATGTGGGAAATAGCATCAAATTTTATAATAAGTTTAGATTAGATTTCGAATTGGTCACCTTTGGCACGAATTATGGCCTTAAAACGGCCAATGAAAACGTTACACCCTGCCCGAATGTTGCTCTGCGGTATCTTGGCCCATTCCCGGCGAAGCGCTTGCTTGAGGTGATCGACACTTTGGTATTTTTTAATGCCAATCTTGCTTTCCAAAACACTCCAGGCACAATAGTCCAACGGATTTGTATCCGGAGATTTTGGTGGCCATTGAGCGTTGGAAATGAAGCGAGGAACCTCATTTTGTAGCCATTCTTGTGTGGCGCGTGCTAAGTGCGATGGTGCTGAGACCTGCTGGAATGTCCTAGGTCTGCGGCCAAAATGTTTGCGTGCCCAAGGCTTTAATACACCCTCCAGAATATTTTCGCGTTAATACGAGCAGAGAGCGGTCATCGGCTGTTATGGCGGCCCACACCATCACCATGGCCGGCGCTTGAGTTCTGGTGGCCAACCGAAGGTACACATTTTCAGCTGACCTCTTTAGCAAGTAAAAATGATAAATTTGTTTGCTTACAAACTGCTGGACAACGGATGTTTTCTCATCGAAGACACCAAATTCGGCAGTTCACCACTTTCGGACAAGCGAAGCATCTCTTTAACTCTTTTGAATCTATTTCCTTTCCTCATTTTTCAATATTTGCCGAATGAGATATTGCGATATGTTCAGCTCACGAGCCATTTTTCGGCCACTGCGACGGGGGTTTCGATCAAGTGGCTTCTTTACTTTTCGAACCTTTTCTGCTGATGTTGTTTTTTCTTGTTGCTTGAATTCCATCACGAATAATTTTTTTCTGGAAAATTCTAAGCAAAATGCTTTTGTACGCTTGTAAACAATATAATGAGCTGTCACTGGAATTATTTTAACAGCTGTCGGACGCGGGGCTTAGAAATGACAGCAGTCTGAAATTGGTTGCAGTTTTTTTCATCTTACCCTGTAGTTTTTCCAAAACCATTCACATTTTTTAGGAATATTTTTCAGGGACAAAACTTAGATGTTGATTCATTTTTTCAAGAACCTTTTAAATGACTATAAAGTCCACGAAACTGGATATCTAAGGACTAATTTGTAAAGGACGATGACGAGGAGGTTATTGTTTGAGAATTTTTTCACCATTTTGTTACAAAACTATTACAATTTTTTCCACAAATTGACACGGTTTCGAAAGACAAATAGACCAAGAAAATTTGACATTTTTAAATAATTTTTTTGAAGGTCTAATAAGGAATTTTCCAGAAATTTTTATTCAATACTATTTTCTTATGAACCGACGGAGTGTTTCCAGGAATATTTTTCAAGAACAACAGAACCACCGAAGATAAGCCGAAAAATATTTTTAGAGAAATGTTTTCCAGACCCCATCAGACTGATGCGACTGTTTCTATTAGTCCTTAAAAGTTCCCAAAAAACTGCCATTGGCACCAGAAAAAAATTAGCTCTGTTGGTATTTTATAATATTTATGGTAAGTTCTCTATTAGTTCTTTATAGAATAACTATTTTTTAAATTACTGATAGAAAACTTTCCAAGATAACTACCATATTTGGATTTTGTTAGAATATTTTTTTAGGATCCAATGAAAAAAAAGCTGTCGGACATAGGTTTATTAAGAAACATTTTTAAGGACCTAGGTTGATTTTTCAGAAAATATTCAAGCGGCCAGCAGTCAGAGACTTGAAATTTTAAGAACATTTTTCAAGGGCCAATGAATAGCTTTTAAATTATAAATTTTTCAAGGACTATCAAATAATCAGAACCTTGATTTTTAATGATTTTTTAAAGAATACCTTGTCAAGGACTAACGGAACGACTTTTGACTTTTTAAAACATTTTTAATGGCAAAAGTATGGATTTCTATAAATATATTTTCCACGACCCTTTAGAAATTATTTTCTCTCTTAAATGTCAGTTGATCATAGCTGCCATTTTTTTTCTTCTCCACTTGTTATTTCCTAATTTAAAAATGCAATGCAACAAATCCTCCTTCTTATCTAAAATTATTCATTAAAATTTTTATTGTATTTTCTTTTTTCTCTTCTTCTTCTCTTTCATTCAAAACAAACGCACACAATAAAAACTCACACACACACACACAGTTGACAGTCGTCATTTAAAAGAATCCATAGAACGTGCAGAATTTTCATTACAATTGGAATTGTGGTTCGCCGAACAGAATGCCACAGCATCCAATTTAGCATTGGCCTCGACGCGTACTTTGCAGTTGAATTTCCATCCAGGACGTGGTCTCCACTATCATCTGCCGGTGTTGTTTGACTATTTCCATTTGGCTGCCGTCAGTGTGGGCATCCATGCCAGTTTGGTGGCATTACATCAGCCGTACATCAAGTAAGTACCTCTAGAGCAGTAGCTGTAGTGTAGATGCGGTAGCCGTAGCATCATTTCTAACACACCGAATTACCCGCCATATGTGAGGAGAGATTTAAGTTAAGGTTGCAATGATAGGTAACCTGCCGTATACACATACTTGGCCAGATGGGCGTGTGTTTGTGTGTGAACGTGAATTAAAGTATCAGCCTAAGTAGAGAAATAGACAAGACCTTCATGTGTAGAATACACCTGGTGGTGGTAATGATGACGATGATGAGGATGTTGCTGTTGCTGCTTCTCGTTCTTCTTCGCCATCTTCCGTGGCCATGTTACAGTGACAATGACGGTGATAATGACTTTAGCCTTTAGTCTCTACCAGACAATGGCTGTTGTTAACAACAATACTGGCAGCCAGCTTCCTTGCATTACCCCAAAAATTAAAGATGAAACATTGTGGCACAGTGGCTTCATGGGGGGGATTAATAATGTCCTACGGCGAATACAGGGTGAGATAACCAAACAACTGCAACAAAGTCAAATGGCATAATTCGGCCGGCCCAAACTTTTAATACCCTCCACCTTAGGGTAAAGGAAACATTAGAAGAAATGTGACAACAACCATTAAAATGCCGAATATTGGGAGGTATCGTTATATGGGGGCTATACCAAATCGTGGACCTACACATGCAATGTTTCGCCAACGGAGCTAGAACCTATTATGACCCACAAATACCAATTTTTAGACAAATCAGTGCAAAAATGTGGCAAAAACCATTAAAATGCCGAATATTGGGAGGTACCTTTATATGGGGGCTATACCAAATCGTGGACCTACACATGCAATGTTTCGCCAACGAAGCTAGAACCCATTATGACCCACAAATACCAATTTTTAGACCAATCCGCGAAAATATGTGGCAAAAATTATCAAAGTACCGAATATCGGGAGGTACCGTTATATGGGGGCTATACCAAAACGTGGACCTATAATTACAATGACTCGCCACACGAACTAGGATTCATTATGACCCACAAATACCAATTTTTAGACAATTCAGTGCAAAAATGTGGAAAAAACCATTAAAATACCGAATATTGGGAGGTATCGTTATATGGGGGCTATACCAAATCGTGGACCTACACATGCAATGTTTCCCCAACGGAGCTAGAACCCATTATGACCCACAAATATCAATTTTTAGAAAAATCCGTGGAAAAATGTGGCAAAAATAATCAAAATACCGAATATCGGGAGGTACCTTTATATGGGGGCTATACCAAAACGTGGACCCATACATGCAATGTTTCGCCACTGGAGCTGGAAACCATTATGACCCACAAATACCAATTTTTAGACAAATCCGTGGAAAAATGTGTCAAAAATCATCAAATTACCGAATATCGGGAGGTACCTTTATATGGGGGCTATACCATAACGTGGACCTATACATGCATTGTTTTGTCACACGTACAGGGACCCGTTATGACCAACAAATACCAATTTTCAGACAAATCCGTGAAAAAAATTGGCATAAATCATCAAAATACCGAGTATCGGGAGGTACCGTTATATGGGGACTATACCAGAACGTGGACCGATATATTTCATTTTCAATACCAACTATCCTAGACACAATACAAATTGCTCTGCTAAATTTTGACGCTCTACGTCAAATAATGTGGTCTGTATCGTGATTTCAACAGACAGTCGGACAGACAGACGGACATCGTTAAATCGACTTAGAATCTTATGCTGATTATGAATATAATACTTTATTGGGTCTACGACGAATATTTAAGGATGTTACAAACGGAATGACAAAGTTAATATACCCTCCTTTCCAAGGAGGAGGGTATAAAAATATCGGAAATATCATAAAATTTTAGAATAGGTTTAGTTTTGTTCGAATTGGTCACCTTTGGCCCGAATTATGGCCTTCAATGATCGACACTTTGGTATTTTTTTAGTGCCAACCTTGCCTTCCAAAATACTCCAGACACAATAGTCCAACGGATTGGTATCCGGAGTTTTGGTGGCCATTGTGCGCTGGAAATTAAGCAAGGAATTAAGCGTGCTAAGTGCGATGGTGCTGAGTCCTCTTGGAATGTCCTGGGTCTGCGGCCAAAATGTTTGTGTGCCCAAGACTTTAATACACCCTCCAGAATATTTTTGCGGCATTTATTCTGATGGCATGGTCGATTAATATGAGCGGAGAGCGACCATCGGCTGTTATGGCGGCCCACACCACCACCACGGCCGGCGCTTGAGTTCTGGTGGCCGACCATTATCAGCTGAGCTCATTTTTAAATATTTTCCGAATGGAATATTGCGATATGTGCAGTCGCTTCTTTATTTTTCGAGCCATTTCTGCTGATGTTGCTGTTTTCTTCCGTTCACTTTCTTGACGTCGGGATACGCTACCAGTATCACTGGAGTGCTCTAACGATAGCCACTTGTGGTTTTCAAGCCAAATATAAAGAAATCACACTATCACTCTTGAATTCCATCACGAATAACTTTTTTTCTGGAAAACTCTCTCCATAATGCTTTTGTACGCTTGTAAACAATAAAATGAGCTGTCACTGGAATAATTTTAACAGCTGTCGGACGAGTGGCTTAGAAATGAGAGCAGTCTGAAGTTGGTTGCAGTTTTTTCATCTCACGCTGTATATTGTAAAGGCCCTGTTTGGTAGCTCTGAGGGTCTTCGAAAAATCCTAAATCCACTTGATATTCCTTAAAAATATATATCCCTTAAAACTGTCTTTTAGTTACTCTGATAGCCCAAAAGCCAAATATGTGACCACATCCTTTACCTATTTCATTCAATGTTTTTGAATTATCCAAAACTTAACTAATTTGTTAAATATAGGAAAATTCATTGGTATCCTCCATTGCCCACACACATCAACACATGTCTTCTATCTCGCTCTCTCTCTCTTTCCCTCTCAGAGTAATTACGAATTCATGTCGAGTTATCTTTTTACAAAATTCCAAAACAAAACCAATTCATTTGCCACAGAAACAAAAACACAATTATTATTAAATTGTCTGTATGCCTATGTCTATGGAAGTGTGTGTGGGTATGTGTCAATTACAATGTTAACTGTCACTTAACTACACATTGATATTCTTACTGGGAACAGAGAGGAATAATAGAGAGAGAGAGAGAGAGATACAATCAGAGAACATTTCATTTCAACACCTAAAAACCAGAAAAGAATGGAACATTTCGGCAACTGACAAGGATGCAGGACAATGTTACAATTTATTTTTTCCTCCATTTCTAGGAATAAACCGATGATGACAAGGAGAAAAAAAAACAAGTGGCACTTGTTATTTTTTTGTTACTCACATAAAATTGACAAATGAAGACCAAGTTTTGTGGTTTAGCAAATTAGAAATGATGATGTTTTTGGGAGGGATGGGTAAGGCAAGAGATGCGAGTATGGCATAGAATATGACATATCAAAAATATTTTTCAAGAGCCATGGGAGCTTAAAATATTTTTTTTTTTTTTTTTTTTTTTTTTTTGAGGACCAATAGAGCTGCTTGTTTTGGATTTTTAGAATTTTTTAAGGACCTTTAAGGCTACAAAACAAGTTTTTAAAGAACTAAAAAAGCTGCAAAAAATTGATGCAAAATCAGGTGGATTTTTAAAATGTTTTTTGAAAACATGGATATGTAGGAATAATTTTCAAAGGACCACCTGTGACTGTGAATTTTTAAGAGTATTTTTGTCAGGGAATATCGGTGAAAGTAAATTTAAAGAATACTTTTTTCAAGCACAACTGGCGCCTTAAAGCTTAAATTTTGTATACCCTCCACCAAACATAGTATGGAGGGTATATGAAGTTCGTCATTCCGTTTGTAACTCAGCGAAATAATAATTTTAGACATAACAAAATATATATATTCTTGATCAGCGTAAAGTACTTAGACGATTTAGCCCTGTACGTCCGTCTGTTGTAATTACGCTAGAGTCAAAACGAATAAGGATAGGAAGCTTCAATTTTACACAGATAAGTCTTCTGTCTGAAGGCAGGTCCAATTCGAAGATGGCCTATATAGGTCCACGATATGGTACAGGGTTATCCATATTCGACGGACCCATCTGGCAACGCCATAAATTTTGACAGAGATGTCACATCCCTTACCGCGTCTGAAGCGTCAGTCCAAGCAGATTTTTACCATGAACCAATACAGCCAATACGAGCCAGTGTTGAAAGGTCCCCAAGAACATCCCAAAAACGCCGTTCTCAGCAGTTGGGCATGGCTCGGTCCACTTTACAACGGATTATTCGCATTGATTTGCATTTGTTCCCGTACAAAATTCAATTGACGCAAAGAATGTTGCTGCGGACAAGCCTCGTCGATTGGAATGGGCCCAAAGAGTCATGGGTCCGTCGAATATGGGCAACCCTGTATATCCCCCATTTAACGATACGTCCCTATATTCGGTATTTTAACGATTTTAGCTACATTTTTCAATGGAATTGTCTAAAAATCCTCACTAGAAGTTCTTTCTAAGCACTTTACACCCTGAAAGATAAATGTCTATACAGGTCCACGATATCGTATACCCAACTTACAACGGACCCCCCGATATTCGGTATTTTGACGATTTTTGGGACATTTTTCACAGGAGTTTTTTGTCAAATTTCTTATTTGGAATTCGTAATGAGCACTACAGCCTATGACAAAAAATTTCGTATGCAGGCACATATCTTCGTATAGCCTCCATATAACGATACCTCCCAATATTCGGTATTTTGATGAATTTACCGAAATTATTTACCGGAGTTATTTTAAATTTCGTATTTAGAATTTCGTAATGAGAACTACAGTCTATGAGAGAAAATTGTTTATGCAGGTCCAGGTCTTCGTATAGGCCCCATATATCAGTTCCTTCCTATATTCGGTATTTTGACGATTTTAGGTACAATATTCACCGAAATTGTTTGAAATTTCATATTCGAAGTTCCTAATAGGTACTACAGCTTGTAACAGAAAACTATC